AATCCGCCGGCCGCGCCGTTTTCAAGCCCACCGCCTCTGCTCACTCAAGGCCGCGATGTGTGATGCTTTTTTGTTGTGAAACCGAAACTACTTTGTTTGGCCTTCCAAAAGAGGACACGACTAGAAATCAGTGGTTAAGTTGTATTTACAACACTGTTCCAGAACACTTCAACCCAAATATTCAGATGTGTCCAGCGCATTTTATGGAGGACTGTTTCCTGATCCTGGGAGAGTAGACTACAATGCCGGCTGTTCTGACTCACTGACTGCAAGTACGTTTTTCATATTTAAAGAATTTGCCACTGATGATACAAACGTGAGTTTTTTGTGCAGTGTAGAGTAGCACTTGTTGTTTGTCATTTCTCTGATCACAAATGCAGACATGGTTTTATGTTACGCTTCGGCCGGACAGGGCATCACAGTATGGTAAGGGGCGTAACATTTCCGTCACACACTTGAGGTATTCGGCCAATCACAACACACTGGATAGCTGGCCAATCAGAGCACACCTCACTTTTCAGACCGATGAGCTTTGTAAAAATCGATGTGTTTCAGAAAGGCGGGGCATAGAGGAGAAACAATAATGTACAGTATGTGGAAAATAATGTGTTTTTTGAACCTTAAACCACAAACACATTTCATTACAATAAATACACAAAATAATGTTCTTTTTAGCAACGTCATATGACCCCTTTAAGGATAGTATGATAAATTAAACCATAGATATACAATAAACAGAACGACAGACAGAATGACAGAAAAAAAATAAAATGATAGACAGAACAATAGAATGGAAAATAGAGACAGAACGATAAATCAAAAGACAGAACAACAGACAGAATGAACGATAGAACGATATGATAGACATAATGAATGCAGAATGAACAACATATAGAATGATAGAACTATAGTGTTAGACCGAAAGATAGAAAAAAATATTGATAGAATGATATACAGAATGGTAGAATGACAGAACGATAGAATGATAGACAGTAGAATGATAGATTGAATGATAGAACTATACATGGAGTGCAAAATAGACAAAGAAAAATGCTAGAGAATGACATACAGAATGGTAGAACGATAGATAGATTGAACAATAGGTAGAACACTATGATAGAATGAAAGATAGAACAAGACAGAATGACCGATCCAAACAGACAGAAATAACAATAGATAGAATGATAGAACGGCAGACAAAACGACAGAACAGACTGCCAATAAAAGTATGATAGATAGAATGATACAGGAACAATAGTACTACAGACAGACGATAGATAGATAGATAGATAGATAGATAGATAGATAGATAGTTGTTGGATGCATCTTTATGGCTGTCACACTATAAATGTAAATTATGAAATTATGAAAAAGTCATGATTTTCATGACTCCAAGCATGAATGATTTACTGTAAAATGTATAATCTGATGATAAATTTGAATAATAAAAAAAAACATAAAAAAAACAACAACTCAATATTATATTAAAAGATTGTTTTATTCACAATTTAGGTGTAACAAATATAGTTTATCAAAAACCTTTGCTGTTCTTTAATATAATTTATTACATAAGATCATGAGATTTATATAAATGATGGCTGGCAGTTTGCCAGAATGAGATATGTACAATTAAAAAACAAATAAAAGAAAAAATAATAAAACCAAACACTTTCCCACAAAATTAATTGCATATATATTAAAGAAAAAAACAGAAACAAAGATAGATAGATAGATAGATAGATAGATAGATAGATAGATAGATAGATAGATAGATAGATAGATAGATAGATAGATAGATAGATAGATAGATAGATAGATAGATAGATAGATAGATAATGACTTGTTGGATGCATCTTTATGGCTGTCACACTATAAATGTATAAAAGAAAATTATGAAAAAGTCATGATTTTCATGACTCCAAGCATGAATGATTTACTGTAAAATGTATAATCTGATGATAAATTTGAATAATAAAAAAAAACATAAAAAAAACAACAACTCAATATTATATTAAAAGATTGTTTTATTCACAATTTAGGTGTAACAAATATAGTTTATCAAAAACCTTTGCTGTTCTTTAATATAATTTATTACATAAGATCATGAGATTTATATAAATGATGGCTGGCAGTTTGCCAGAATGAGATATGTACAATTAAAAAACAAATAAAAGAAAAAATAATAAAACCAAACACTTTCCCACAAAATTAATTGCATATATATTAAAGAAAAAAACAGAAACAAATCAGACTATGTGCAATGGAATGATTATCAGCAATATTGTACAGTTACATTTCTGAGGTTGTCTCATGAAGAAATAAAGGACAAGAATCACAAACAAAAAAAGGCATTTTCTATGCAAGATCATCAACACAATATTTAAACAACAAATTCTTAATCCGAAAAGCACATCTCCTATTCTGCGTATCGCAAGCAGATGCGAGGAAACGTCTGTTCCCGAATGTCACCTAAGAGTCGCTGCGGATCCTCAGTCACAGCTTGAGGAATCACTTTCACTAAAGAGAGAGACAGCACAAATCGCTAGTCCGCGCTAAGCCGCGGCAGTGCTAAACATCATTTAGATTCGCAGTATCATGAATACAGTGAGCGTGATGTCTTATCTACAGTGTCACAGTGTTTTATGACGGGCCTCCCTCGAGATGACAGTACTTTCATATATTGCGGCTCCTAACTCTGACAGTACGCTGTTCGTTAGCACACATACAGCGGAGAAATACCAAGTGTTGCAGTCGCTGGCCTCAAGAGAGGAATCTCTGCGAGGTATTTATTTCCACGTAGATCCACTAGTATAATACACAGGTTAAAGCGCCACACCGTGCTAGTTAAGCAGGGTGGTTTAGTTTTGAGTAGTTTTGGGAACACTGTCTAAATGAAGATGCTAGCATCAGCCCTACTCCACAAACCTCAAATTTGACGTCTCAAATTCCCAAAACATACTAAGATGGGAATTGGTCCATTCCTCCATGAATTGGAATGTGGCTATGTAATGTAGTGTATATGATTCTTTTGTGTGTTTGTTGTATCCAGTGCCATGGACTGCTTTGCAGGCATTGTTTTGCATCTTTTTTTTCTTCAAAATTCCTCACTTGTGCTGTCACGTTGTCCTACAGTAATATTCCTATTCTTTTCTTCATGGAGAACCCAAATATACTGATTCACAACTTTGTGCTTTCATGATCAATCAAACGAACGAATGAACAAATAAACAAACAGATAAAATTATAAAATCACAACAACTAGGCCAAAGTATGTTCAATTCACATTTGGTGGTACATTCATACAAATATATTCAACTCCCCTTTTTGACTGATGCTGCCCGTGTTGTCCTAATAAAACACTTTTCCAATGGATTCAAGCAGCTTCATCGCAACAGAGCTCCTAAAGGGACATGGTGATTACATGGGAGGAAAAATAATATTTCAATGCTTCTGTGTTCTCACAAAATCTTTGCATTCCCTCAAGAAAATTTGGGTTCACTCACAAAAATGTTTGTGTTACTTTAAGAAACTTTGCGTTTGCTCGCAAAACCTTTGTTAATCCACAAAACGTTGTATTCCCCCGGAAAAATGTGTTTGCTTGCAAAAGTTTTGTGCCTGTTCACAAAACCTTTGCATTCGCTCACAAAAAGTTTTGCGTTCCACAGAGAAACTTTATGTTTGCTCACAAAAACGTTTTCATTCCACAGACAAACTTTTGCATTCACTCGTGAATTTTTAGTTTTTTTGCATTCCCAAGAAACGTTGCTTGCTCGCGAAACTTTTGAGTTTGCTCACAAAAACTTTTGCATTCACTTGTAAAACTTATGCGTTCCACAGCGAAAATTTTGCTCTCATTTTTGAAACTTTTGTGTTCACTTACAAAAGCTTTTGTATTCCACAGAGAAACTTTTACGCTTGTTCGTAAAACTTTTGTGTTCGCGCTCAAAGTTTCGTGTTCCACAGAGAAACTTTGCGTTCGCTCACTAGGCTTGCCACGATAGACGGTGTTGACGGTGATACCGGTGTTAAGCCGCAACACCGGTTACGTCACTTGCCCACCGCGTCACCGACCCCCACCATCGTTTAGATTTTTTATAGTAATAAAAATCATTTAGTTAAGTAAAAGAACAGACACTACAATTAAAAACTGAACGCGGCTACTCAATGCAGCGTGCCGAACGGCAGTCGCATCACACAGATCGAGCTGACTGACAAGAAGAGTGAGGTGAGACAGACAAGACGATCGCGGATGATTTAGTTTCGAAACTAGATGCAAAAGCGCCTGTTTGGCAATATTTTGGATTTTGAAAAGCCTGTTGACTTTTGCCGTTTATCTAAGGTGATTTTGGAAGTTTTTTTAAACATTCGTTTCTTATTTAATTGGTTCCACATTGTTTGCTGATTTTTACTTTATTTAAACTGT